TAAGTTAAAGTAGGGGAATAAATATTTGTCAGGACCAAGATCACCACTTTTTTTCCCATTTAGCATAAAATTTCTGCATTTTTCGATGCAGTTTAAGAAAAGGTTACCACTATGAAGCTTATTAACTGAAGAAGTTGTTACGAAATATCCCAAGTTTTACCGTGAATTTTTCCAACGAGGTTGAAAGGCAATTTAGTTTTTTTTCAAATTTTGGATTTAGAGTTTTGAAAAATTTATTGTATGTAGCAAAAATTAAATTGGAAATTTCTAGATGGAATTCAGATAATTTACACATCAAGTTACTTCAATTTACAGCAAATTTATTCCTCAAAGTTCCTCCCATCTTATAAAATGTTAATTTCAATGTTTAATTTGATTACAGCAATGGAAAGAGCATTAAAAACCGAAGGATGTTCATTTACGTTGGGTTTTGTTTGCTACATTAAGCACACAAAATAAAAATNAAATATTTTTATATTATGTTGTTTTTATTGTTTTTAATTAATTCCATACTGTTAATGTTTAGATACTGAGCTTCACCTAATTTTAAATAATCTTATTAGAAATGCAGTTTCTTGTTGTCAAGATATATTTCAACACTCATCGAGTTAAAGTAAGAAAAATAATTGTTTTTTAATTTTGTTCTTTTAAATGATACAATATGTTCTAATTGCGATATTTTTCTAAAATAAATAGGCCCTGATGATGACGATATAATCGTCGAAAGCTCGGCAAACACTTAAAGAATTATCGTTCTGTCGTGGCCTCACCGAAGCTCCTTTTTTCCAAATTGTTCAACTGGTCGATACATCATCTCATCTTTAAATAAAATTGTAATAAATAATAATAAAAGTTGCCCCCATTGAGCTTTAAATAGGTGTACTTAATTTTACAAAGGTCGAGAAGAAAAAGAAAAACACAAAAAAACAAACAGCTTCTCAAAATTAAATTAAAGATTCAAAATGTCCACCTTTTTGAAGAATGTAATTGAAAGAAGGAATTTAATTTATTTATGCACTTATAAATGGTGAAATTTTGACCATTTCTCTTTTAAAATTTAGAGGATTACTGTTTTTTATTACACCCAATTTTGTACAAAAAACACCAAGAAATCTTTTTTGGTTATTTTGTACATGATTTATGTTTCAATCGATTTTATGAATCGGTGCCGTACTCATTACCTCGGCCCGAAAATTTTCAAGCAGGCCCAATTTTGTACAAAAATAATTCTAATGGTCAATATTTTATCGAATTATTTTAGGTTTTTTTACAATATTGAAAACAAAGCAATGACAAAATTTTAATATTATAAATTTATTCCGTCCTCCTTAGCAAAAACTACAGTTTCTTTTCTTATGACCAACCTGATTGAACCACATCTTCATCCAAACTTCTTGATATCCTCAATCGATTGTTGATATTCTTGTTTTCTTTGTTTTTGTTGTCCTTCATTTTTCGATTTATCGATTGTTTAACGTTTGCTATTTCTAAGCTTTTAAAAAAAAAAAAAAAAGTTCAAAATTGAGACTTTTTCAAGTACATTTTCTACGTTTTAATAATGATTCTATAGTTGTTTTGTTTCTTACATTGTTGGTTGTTTATGTTCTTTTTTCTTGGTTTTACTTGCCTTTCTTTTTTCGTTTTTATGAATTGTTTAATTTTTGCGTTTAATTTATGACGTTTAGTCATCTTGAGCCAATTTCAAGTACATGATTTTTTTAAAAATAATTCTTCCATTGTTGTTGCTTTTCCAGTTTTTTTATGACTTCAATCGGTTGTTGACATTAATCATTTCTTCGTTTTTGCTGTTGTTCTTTGTTTTCTTTTATGGATTGTTTCATTTTTGCAGTTTCTAGACCTTAAGAACAGTTCTTAATTACATTCTTAAGAACATTTTTTAAAATAATTCTTCCATTGTTGTTGTTTTCCTTGTCTAGTAAGGCCTCGTTTGTCGGTATTCTTTTCTTTGGTTTTCTTTTTTCCGTTTAATGGGAAAGATTTTATTTTTAAACTTACATGATATGTTTTCAATTAATTAATCTTTTTATGTAGGGTATTGGCTGAAATGAAAAAGTGTCACGAGCGGGATTCTCAATACGCTGCTGTAAACGCTTGAGCTATAGTGATCGTGGTTAGAGCGGTGCATTGAGCCGAAGGTCGTGGGTTCGAATCCCGCTCGTGACACTAACTCTTTCATTTCAGCCAATACCTTATATAAAAAGATAAATTAATTGAAAGAAGTTATTTGGTCAATCGGACCACGAAATATAATGGACTTACATGGTATGATTCACTCAGTCATTTGGCTATTATTTTTTAAATGAAAGTTCATATTGTTTTATAATTTATAAATAGAGTGAATTATTTTTATTTACTTACATTATTTTTGAAATATCGTTTCTTACAGTCTCAGTTCAATTTACTGTTTTGAATAAAATGAATATTTGAAAAAGTTAATTAATATGTTGAAATTTTTACCCTTTTAAAAAACTCCCTTAGTTTTTGGGGAAGGAGCCACCGGTAAATCCGATACATTTCCCGGCAATTGGTGTATATTCCTGAAATTTAATTGGGATTACTCACAATACTGTCCTGTCAATAGTTCAGGACATTATCCTAGATGTCAAATCGTACTAAAAACATCCTTATTGCCCAAAGTCTGATTTTCAAATGTATTCGTGATATTTCATTTTTCATGTTACTTCAATAGGATTCTTTGGTACAAAATTGAACGTAAGAAAAAAAACTCTTGAAAAAATGAAAATTTAAATGATCCAAATGTCTTCCTTGAGATTGCAAGACATCGTTTCCTGACGGGTTTAACTGCTCTCAAGCTTTATCATCTATTTCTTATGTATAATCTTGTACCAGTCATTTTTGTTTATTTTTTTAAAATTATTTTTAGTCATTTTTAATTATTTTTTAATAGAAGTTTCAAAACTTAATTATTATTTTTTTAATAAATAAATCTAAATCATTATTTCAAATAAATTTAAATCCTCAAATAAATTTAAAATAAATCTATAGATAGAGTAATTATTCAGAAATCGTGAGATGTGGTCTGGTGTGATGTAGGTTTCCGAAAAACATTTTCTTTATCGTGCCAACGTTTCGATCTTTATTGAGATCATCTTCAGGACAAACATTGTTTTCATTTAACAAATACATTTAGGATGTGGAAAAGTGAATTTATACAATGCAAAATATATTTTTTATATTCAATTAAATGTATTTGTTAAATATAAACAATGTTTGTAAATCCCAGGCCCTGAAGATGATCTCAATAAAGATCGAAACGTTAGCACGTTAAAAAAAAATGTTTTTCTGAAATCTACATCACACCAGACCGCATCTCACGATTTCTGAATAATTATCGATTAACGGTCATTAATCACCACACACATTTCTATAGATAGAGAATATTTATATCTGTAAAAATCAGACACTTCATCAAAGCAAAAAAAAAGAAGGACAACAAAAACAAAGGGGCATCGGTGGCCGCAACGGTTTAGGCGTTGACACGGCGCTCATCACCGCAAGGGAAAGGTCCCGGGTTCGAATCCAGCGGCCCTGCATTCGAACCCGACGTACTTACAAATGGGCTTTTTTTCAAAAACACCGTCACCCCGAGGGTTGATATAACCTCTGCTGTTGCGAACCCTCGTAAGGAAAAAACTTATTAAGCCCATACAAGACCGAAAAAACAACAACAAAACAACCAAGGACAAATTATTAAAAAATAAACTGTGTACTTCAAAATTATTTTAAAGGTAAAAAAGAAAATCAACTAATTCAAAATAACCAATTCAAAAAACCAGTCTCAATACTGAGCCTTCGGTACACCCATGTAGAAATTATTGATATTCACTACTTTTCGTGGTCCGCTTGACCAATTAATATCTTTAAATTAATTAAAATTTTCAGTTGAGATAAAAATGTCAATGTCACAAGCGGGATTCGAACACACGGCCTTCGGGTCAATATGCCGCTGCTCTACCACTTGAGCTATCGTGACTTCGATCCACTCGGACACCAATAATTTTAATAATAATTGAATAAGTTAAAATGAAGTAAGTATATCTTCACTAAAGCTCTCCGTGTGCCATTTCAATTGTCGCCGTGAATCAAATAGATTACACGACATTTGAAAAATGGCAAAAAGGAAGGAAAATTCAAGAGGTGGGGTTGAGATGGGAAGTTGGTGTCCGAGTGGATCGAGGTCAGGGTAGCTCAAGTGGTAGAGTAGCGGCGTATCTAGCCGAAGGTCGTGGGTTCGAATCCCGCTCGTGACATTGACTTTTTTATCTCAACTAAAAACCTTAATTAATTTAAAGTTATTGATATTGTTCTATTATTACTAAACATCAGTCTACTCCCTGATTTAAACAAAGGCGTATTTGTTGATTTTTTATTGTTTAGGATCCCTTAATGATGATATGATGATCGTGTATCTAAAATTAACAAAAATTTTGCGAAATTTTGCATTTTAATTCTATTTAAAATTGTATTTCTTGCTTCGTGATGGGTTTAAGAAAAATTAATTATAATTTTTATTTCCAACCCTTTCATGATAATTTTTAACATTTACAGTTTGTTAATTATATTAGATTTTATTCATTAACATTAGCCATCCCTAGAAAATCGTGTAAATTTCAAATTTTCCCAATAGGACAAGTACTAGAGGAGAAAAAGTACTGGATATATGTTACGATTATGAGGCATTTTTTTTAAATTCTAGACGCAACTCTTTTAAATCTGTTTCGCGTCGTTTTTGATTGTCGATTAAATATTTTCCAATCTCAAAACCGGGAAACTGTGGAAGATGACTGGCCACTTGAAAAAAATTGGAACATGGACCCTTTAGAATCACGGGACAATCTTTTTTCCAACGATGGTTAGTTTAAGATATTATCAGTATTAAAGATGGTGATGGTGACTGAGGATGAACGGAGGGGAAAATGTCATAAAGTCAATGGGGTAGAACTTCTATTCATGCCATTGAGAGGATAGGGCCCCATTGTTGCCTCCAGCCCCTGCAGGCCCTGTACAACCCTTAGTTCCCCTACGACTTCCATCCAGGTATGATGGCCAGTAGTAATATATCCTACAACCCGAAACCCGCTTACACTTTTTCCGATATTTTCATATTCAAAGGTAATTTCGATTCCATTGTATGAGCTTCCCGTTGAGAATTTCTATAATTTTATTGAAAATTTTTCTAAAGTTGGGGTTTGTTTTATTGCAGATAATAAGAAAACCGATCCATCCTGTTGCCCCGTTTGCGGCTTAAGCGTTAGAATAGGTGATTTGGATTCGCATTTCATCCAAGAACTGGAAAAACTGTATAAAATTTCAACGACGAATCGATTTAGAAGAAATAAAGAACACTTGACTTCGTCCTCGGACGGTTCTTTGGAAAATAGATGGGAGGTAAAGTAAAAAACTTTTTTTTTATCGAATGCGAACAAACAAACAACCCCTTTAAAATTTATTTCAGGCGTATTTAAGGATAAAATCGAACAGGCATTGTCGGCTGAGGATGAAAACCCGGAAGAAAAAACCGGATGACGTTGTATGCCCGATTTGCAACGAAAATGTATTCGGAAGTATGCAACAACTCAACAGTCATGTGGAACTATGCCTAAGAAAAGTATGTATTTCTTATATTATTTGTTATTATTGAGTTTCTGATGCTAAAAATCCAATTTATTTCTATGCCCATGTGCATTTTATTTAAAATTTGATTATTTATTGATTTCTTAAGTTTTTTTAATGTAAACTTAACTTATGGACAACAAGCATGACATCAAAAATGCAACTTAGTCCTTAGTCAATTTTTCCTTATTTGTCTACCTACCTTAGTACATTTTAAAAAAATTATATGTTTTAATTGGTGTGGACTCGTTCTTTGTCACTAGTGCTTTATTTTCTTCGGGTAGATCCCCATACAAAGTTAAAATATTGCATAAATATCACAATTAACATAAAATATCACATTATTTGAGAAAAATCAAGCTTAAAAAGCTTAATAGAATATTTAGAGATAATATAGGCATTGTGGCCAGGCAGTAGGCACAGATTGCTGATCCAATATTTCAGGACCATGAATGTTTTTAATTGTATATTTAAAATTTGATTATTTATTGATTTCTTAATTTTTTTAATGTAAACTTAACTTATGGACAACAAGTATGACATCAAAAATGCAACTCAGTCCTTAGTCTACTACTACTCAGTACCTTTATGTATGTGATATGTGTTGTTTTTTTGGAACGAATGTATTTATTTGCGTGAATGAAGGGCATGTCCTCAATTACCCCGATGAGTACTCTGGGGTAGTGTGAATGTAATTTATTAGCGTGAATGGAGGGGATCATGCGAATTGCCGTGAGTACTCGGTATTTTCGGTTTAATTGGGGATGAGCAGATCCATTCACACAGCAAAATTCATTTGCACTACCTCAGAGTACTGTTTGTTTCTCATGTAGTTATGGATGAGCAACTCCATTCGCGCTAATAAATACATTCGCACGTCAAAATTTATTCACACTACTCTGGAGTACTCAATATTCCTCGGTTTAATTAAGGATGAGCAGCTCCATTCGTGCTAATAAATACGTTCACGCACCAAAATTTATTCACACTACCTCAGAGTACTCTTTGTTTCTCAGTGTAGTTGTGGATGAGCAGCTCCATTCGTGCTAATAAATACGTTCACGCACCAAAATTTATTCACACTACTCTGGACTACTTATTCCATGGGGATGAGAAGCTCCATTCACTGATGTTGACTACACTAATTTTTTTAAATATTTTGAATATGTAGTCTTATAAATGTGTGGTTTGAATTATGGTTGTTTTTTGTAGCATGGGACATATAGTGAACAAGAGGAAGAAGAAACAGTGGATGTTGAAGGTGAAGGGGATTCTTACGAAGATTATGAATGGTCGGCTCAGAGCAGAGTACCTTCATCGATGTTATTGAACTCGTACGATGGTAAATCAATCAATTCAATATCTCCGCTCCTAATTTCTGTTATTATCTTTTTATTTTTATTTTTTTATTGTTATTATCTTTTTCAAGAAACAACGAAATGTTTTTAGGCGTTGCTTCAAGGCAAAACTGTGCAAATTCGAGGGTCAGCGGGGAAGAAAACAGGAAATCCGACCTTGCAGCCGAGCGAGAAGATTCATCCCATTACGGACCGATTCAGTATACCGATGCAGATTTGGTGCTATCCCTCACTGTAGATTCGAATCAAGAACCAGAAGAAAATGCAGAGAGGTATTTTTCTCTATTCAACCATTAAATTTTACATTTGTGTAAATTTAACTAATATATGCATCTGTGAAATACCAGTCGGAATAGGCAATTTTGACCTACCAACACATCCTGACACTATTATCACCACCTACGCGGACGACACCGCAATCCTATCCTGTAACTCAAACTCTGTCCAAGCTACCTCCAACATCCAGGAACACCTTGAGCTTATTGAAGACTGGTGTTAAAAATGGAGGACAAGACTGAACAAAGAAAAATGCACTCAGTGTACTTTTACGCTGAAAAAGCAGTCTTGCCCTCCATTGTACATCAACAACAAAGAGATACCAGTTTCCACTCAAGTCAAATACCTGGGACTATACCTCGACAGCAGACTGACGTGGAATCCCCACACAAGACTTAAAAAACAGCAACTTAATACAAGACTTGGATTACTACGAAGACTTTTAAGACCGAAATCGACTTTGACAATTAAGACAAAACTAACACTATACAAGACTTTACTAAGACCAAGACATATGGAGTAGAATTGTGGGGCACTGCCAAGCCTTCCAATATCCAGCGCATCCAGTCCTTCCAATCGAAAGTCCTTAGACAAATTGTTAAAGCACCCTATTATGTCACTAACCTCACTATCCACAAAGACCTCAACATTCCTTTTGCCAACGAACTAATCCAGTCCAGATTCCAAACCTTCCATACCAACCTTTCAAACCATCCTAACCATACGGCTCGAGCCCTATCCACTCATTCCCATCCTGACAACCCACCACGACGCCTCAACCGACGATGGCCTCGGGACCTCCTTGATCCCTAATCATATAAACTGAGTGCCAGCAATGGCTGGCTCCTCAAAGCATGTGTCCTACCGGTGCAGTGCTGGCATTAGTGCTAGTGTTGTGCTGTGTAATATTTCATGCATGTGTACATATTTGTATAGTATACAATTCTGTATAGGTAACAAATAAATAAATTAAATTTTAAAAAAAAACATGCAAAGAAAAAGTAATTAACTGATTTGAAAGCGAGGCACAGTAGCAAACTTGTTAAATACATCATCAACAAGTCTCTGCCAAGGGATGATCAAACAACTCTCCTAATTAGAAAAAACCAGGACAAGTTGAAACGTTCCTTCTACAAAAGCTTGCATAAAAAGTCTAAACACAATACACTTAACACACAAGAAGTACCTCAAACCTATTAAGACAAAAGTTAAATGCACAAACATGAAAATATATCTCTATTTTAATTATTATTCTGTTTGCGAAAAACTACTTTAGACATTTAAAATCGACACTAATTATTGTTTGTTTTTAGTCCAACATCCCAAATTACAATGCACCCAAAAGACTTATGTAATATTGGTAAAAAATCGGAGAATTCCTCGATTGACAGCGATGCCGAGAGGGCCAATTCCTCAGACAATGATCATGTCATTCAAGCACTGAAGCATAGAATCAGAGAACTTGAAACCAACTATAGTTCAGAGCATAAGATGTTATGTCTTATATGTAAGGTAAATCGAATACTCAATGTTAACAATTTATTTTAATTAATTTTTTGTTGTTGTTAAAAGGGTTGATTGAACTTCGAAATTGAGATCAGTTACATTAGGGAAAGCAAAATTTGTTTTACTTTTTAAATAATTATGGTTATATTAATCCTCCTCTCACCAGGTTGAGGTATGTCTCACTCCTGTGTTTCTTTTTCTTTCATTTAACTCTTTGTCATCAAGGGGTTTTAGGTATAACACCAGGTTCGAGTCATGAAGTGTGAATATTTGAGTGTGATACATCTGATAATTAACGTTAGTTAGTTAGGTTTTTTTTTAATAATTAGGGCTTAAAGGGATTGAGTGAAGACTCAACATAAAGAAAATTTTAAAAAAGACAATGACATTCCTGATGACCCAGAGCAAAACAAATGCAATCCTGACATGGCTATTGGCATACATTCAGTTTGTAATTTAGAGCAACTTAAAGAATGTACATTTTGGATATTTTTATGCTAGGAACACAACCAACTCTCTTTTCTTTATTCTATCATTAGTCCTTTGTACCTCAAGATAAAGCAAGATAGTTTGGTTAGCAATCACACTACACCAGAGTACTCGATATTGCTCGGTGTGAAATGGGATGAACAGCTCCATTCACTCTAATAAATATGCTCACACACACCACTATTTATTCACACTGCCTCAGAGTGCTTGATATTCCTTGGTGTAATTGGGATTTGCAGTTCGATTTGCACTAATATATTCACTCACATACTACAATTTATTTGCACTACCCCAGACTGCTTAAAGGGAATAGTAATAAATTAAGGTCATTTCAAAGACTAGGTTGTTTGATGATGACAGGAGCATTTTCAACTACACCCACCCTAGCACTTGAAATCATAACCAATACCACACCCCTTGACATTGAGGTTAAGGTCAGAGCACTAATCAGCTGCTACAGATTAATTAGCGAGGGCAGCTGGAATCATAAGTGCAATAACATAGGTCACTCGAAAATCTCTCAACTATTGAGTAAAGTTAACGGTCAATTATTAAGCGTTAGTGATAAAAAGATTAAAACCCGTTCGGGGAAAAAGCACTTTCACCCTTGTGATTATGATTATAGTCTGGATGATGACCATCGTAACATAGACTGCTACACAGATGGTTCACTTATCAAAGGTAGAGGGAGTGGTGCAGGAATCTACATACCAAAATTAGGAATCAGCATCNTATATACCCCAGACTGCTCGATATTCCGCGGTGTTACTGGGGATGAGCAGCTTGATTTGCACTAATAAATACACTCACATACTACAATTTATCTGCACTACCCCAGTGTGCTCGATATTCCTTGGTGCTACTGAATGAGCAGCTCAATTTGTGCTAATAAATACATCTAGATACTACAATTTATCTGCACTGCCCTAGAATGCTCGATATTCCTCTGTGTTACTGGGGATGAGCAGCCCAATTTGCACTAATAAATACACTCACATACTACAATTTATCTGCACTACACCAGAACGGTCAATATTCCACGGTGTTACTGGGGATGAGCTACTTAATTTGTGCTAATAAATACATACACACATGAAAATTTATCTGCACCACCTCAGGGCTCGAATTCCTTGGGGGTGTTTTAATTAATAATTTTAAACTATTAGGAGTCGGTGAAGACTGACTCTTTATCGACCACAAAGGAGATATTAAAAAAATGACAATTTGAATATTTTTGTTTGCCTGCAATATCTTTTAAAGGTTTTATATTGTAAACATGTGAAATACTTTTAGCTTAAAAAATTATTTACTGTATTATTATGTGTTTTGTTTAACTTTAACCTTTAAAAAATGGTGAAATTTGCTCACAATTGTCACCTAAGTTAGAGGGTTAAAAAAATCATATCAGCAATCAACCCTTATAAAATAACAATCATGTAGGAAAAAATATAAATATTTATCATTTTTATAAAACAAAATTAATTTTTTTTTTTTAAATTGCAGGATCAATATGTTAAACCATTGGTCTCTGTTGCATGTTGGCATGTCCATTGTGAGCAATGTTGGCTACACACACTCGTAAGTATAATTAAATATGTGCAAAATATGTGCTTTTTTCACATCTTAACAATAATTACACACAAATAAAAATAATTACACTTACATTTTTTGTTTAAATAAGTAAAAAGTTAAGTAATTCCTGTCATACAGAAAGACTTAACGTCCAACTACCCATTGATTTGAGTGGATGAGGGGTCATACCACTTTGCAATACTTTCCTCATGTTATTCATTTAAATCTATGGCACCAGGATTCAAACCAAGGCAAATAAGAGTCGGATGCCCAAACCACTCGTCCATCGTGGTCCCAGTTTGTTTAAATATTTTATAATAAATTTTAATTGAGCTTCTTGAAATAATTCTATAGAATAATCTCGAGTTCTGAAATAATTAGTCCTTGTTAAAATGTAAGATAATTTATTAGATGTGTCCTCCATTGATCCTCTAATCTAAGAAATCCATGAAATAGAAAATAAATTAAAAGAACTAGGTAAAGAAATAATCCCACCTCGGATCCCAGGACATGTTGGCATAGATGAAATGAAAAAGCTGACCAGGCAGCCAAATGAGCAGAACAGATACCGCATGGCCTGGAAACACTGTTGAGTCCAGCATATATGAAAAATTGTCTTAAAAACCAATGTTGGAAAGATTGGCAGAACCGGTGGACTCCCAAGACTGAAAAAACAGGTGAAATAAAACCATCGGTCAAACCGTGGCCAAGGAGAAAATGGGAAAAAAAGAATGAATCGTATTGACTCACCTCCTCAACAAAGCAAGATTATGAAGATGCCCTTTATGTGGCATGCAAATATGAGTAAAACACCTATTGATAGAGTGCGAGGAATTAGCACCACAAAGGCATGCCCGCACTTAAAACAACTTTTAAATCACAGTAGTGGTTATAAATATATGCAATACATGAAACAGATAAACGTATTTGGTTGCATATAGGGAGCCGTTGCATATGTAGGTTAAAATAATATCCTTAATTTGAGTGAATGTATTTATTAGCATGAACGTTATATTTGGGTGTGTTTGTGATGGAATATTGAGTTCTCACAGACACACCAAAATAGTTTAGGATATAGTTTTGTACATTTGTAGAGTAATAGGGAGGTAGTACCTGGCCTGATATCAAAAATCCTGGTGACTATCCAATTTTGTGAATGTATTTATTAGCATGAGTAGTTAAGTATGGATACGGTCCGTCGTGGAATATTGAGTACTCACAGACACACCAAAGTAATATAGGTTATTTAGTTTTGTGAATTTTTAATGTAAACGGGAGGTAGTACCTCGCCTGATATCAAAAACCCTGGTGACTATCCAATTTTGTGAATGTATTTATTAGCATGAGTAGTTAAGTATGGATACGGTCTGTCGTGGAATATTGATATTCTCACAGAGACACCAACTAGTGTATATTATTGAGTTTTATATGCTTCCAGTGTAATGTGGGGGTTCTCACCAGTATAATATCAAACACCCTGGATACTATTTGATTGTGTGAATGAATTGATTAGCATGAGTGGTTAAGTGTGGACATGGTCTAAGGTGGAATAACAAGTTCTCATACACACCAAAGTAATCTAGGTTATCTAGATTTTGATGAGTGGTTAAATGAGTACGGACAAGGTCTATGTAGAATGTCGAGTATCCACAGACCTGTCGAAACAGTTAGGTTAACATAGGAGAGTGAATGCGTTATTTTTATTCTGTGTGAATGTATTTATTGGCATGTATTGAAGGGAGGGTGTCAAGGTGAAAATTGCCAAACTTAGATTTGATAATAATTTAAATGAAAGTGAATTTTAGTTAACTTAAGACATTTTATACACGGAAGAAAGAAGCAATATCAAAAAAGATGAGGAGCAGGATATGCTTCTAGCCAGCTGGAAAAAAATATTTGTTTTATTTATTTATTTTAAAGGTAGAAATCCTTTAAGCCTCCTTACATGTAATATATTAGGAATAGATTTAATTTTATAAACATAGTGAAATAATAATAATAGCAATAATAATAATAATAAATCATATAATAAAATATACAAAACAATAATATACAGGGTGAGTCATTTTTTGATGCATTGGAAAATCAACGTGGGTGCGTTTAAATCTGATTCAAGGCTTATTTCCTTTGATTAATACATTAATAAAAGAAAGTGAGTCAATTTTCGGTGCACCATTTGAAAATCAACATTGGTGCATCTAATTATGACTCGGCACATTTTATTTTGTTAGTCTCGTACCAAAAAATAGGTGAGTCACTTTTCGACGCACCATTCGTTACAAATTAGTTTTAGTAGGTTGGAAGGAAAATAAACAAAACCAATATTATTAAAACATTATACAATATATAAATATAAAAATTTAAAAAAAATTCTTCACAAATTAATTTGATTAATGTTTAAGAGTATTTTTTTCGTCCGATCATCATTTTACGATAGACTAGGCTACTATGTTACAGCAAATGGAGGTCTGTTTGAACAATTATTATAATGATTTTGAACATTTTTGGTTTGCTAACAAAGGAGATTGTTACAATGATTTAATTTTTTTACTTTACCAGAAAAAAGGAGATTGTTACATTTATTTAATCTTTTTACTTTACCGGAAAAAAATACTCTTAAACCTTAATCAAATTAATTTGTGAAGAATTTTTTTTTTTAATTTTTACATTGTGTTTGAATAATGTTTTAATAATATTGGTTTTGTTTATTTTCCTTCAAACCTACTAAAACTAATTTGTAACGAATGGTGCGTTGAAAAGTGACTCGCCTATTTTTTGGTACAAGACTAACAAAATAAAGTGTGCCGAGTCATAATTAGACGCACCAACGTTGATTTTCCAATGGTGCACCGAAAATTGACTCACTTTCTTTTATCAACGTATTAATCAAAGGAAATAAGCCTCGAGTCAGATTTAAAACGCATCCACGTTGATTTTCCAATGGTGCGTCAAAAAATGACACCCTGTATATTCAATATATATATAAACAATAATTTAATATATTATAGAACATGTTCTTTAAAATGTTAATTATTTACAATCTAATGAATCAAAAGGTAAAAGAAATCAAGCAAAAAAATAGGAAGAGGGAAAAAAGATGATTTGTTGTTTTTAAAAACTCAGATGCCAGTGACCTGAAACAAGCCAGCGAGGAAGCACTTCTCAGGCACCGTTCTTCTTGGGGAAGCAAATTCCATAGTCTTGACTCTACAATTCTGAAGGATAAGGCTAATGTTTTAGAGGAGTGTTGACGGCTTGGGGTATGATTGGTACGTTTGGATAAGGAATGTGGGAAAAAGTTGATAGATATTGAGGCCGTTTATTGAATTTCATTTGAAATAATTAAAATATAATAATAAACATTAAAAATCAGGTTTTAAGTGCTTAGAATGTTAAGGTTGCTGAAGACTTTAATATAAGAAGAAATACGATCCCTTGGTTTAAGATCATATAAAATTTAAGATCATATATATATTTAAGATTATATATATTTATATAAGATTTAAGATCACATATATAATGATAAGCAATTTGAAGTCGATGAGCAGATTGATAGTGTAAGGGAAGTGAAAAAAGTGCTACAGTAAGATAATAAATTAATTAAATTATTATTATTATTATCAGAAGATTGAAGGGAGAACTCTAGTTTTCTGTGGAATGAAAAAAATAAGGCATCAAAGAGAATGGAGGCTTGAATAGGCCTTTTTAATAATAGAGTTCACATGGTTATGTAAGCTTGGAGTTAAAAATAACGCCTAGAATTAAGAACTAATGGAAGATCATTTAGAAACATGGAAAAGAGTAAAGGTCTAAGGTTAGTGCCTTGCAGTACATCACCTGAAATTGAGAGAGAAGAGGTGATATAATTTGAAGCTGTAACTCTTTGAGTTCTGTCAGACATATAGGATATGAGATTAGTAGCAATAGAGGAAAAACCAAAAAGATGTATCAATTTCCAAAAAAGTAAATTATGAAGCCGAATGCATCGGAAAAATCAAGTAGAACAATGATGCTTACTATTATCAATGCCTAGGCAAATATCACCTGAGATTTAGACAAAGGGTTAGTTTTTAATCTCACAACTATGAAATTTTTGGAAGCCAGATTGAACAGGGATATAAGGGCATGGGAGTCACTAAATAAGAATATTTGTTTAAATAAAATCTCAAATAATTTAGATAGTGATGGAAGAATAGTAATAGGGTGGTAGTCACTAGCAAGGGTGGGTTTAGGTTGCTTGGGTAAACCAACTATTAGGACTTCCTTCCAATTAAATTATTTAATTATTTAAGGGATACTAATACTAATTTGTATTTTCTGTTTCAGGGGGCGAAGAAACTTTGCCCACAGTGTAATATGATAACATCCCCGACTGATTTAAGAAGAGTATTTATGTGATCCTGCCATTGAGTGTTCAATAAATGCGCCATTCATATACAAATAAATATCAATTCTACTTAAAATTATCGACGGTTTATAGTATTGTTTCATTACAAGATTTTAAATTCATTATATCAAAATAGTCGAGTGACAGTTTCATCTAAAAAAGATGCTTAGAGCCGAAGGTCAAGCATGATTCTCATTTCAACTTATAATTTATACCAAAATAATTGATTGTATTAAATTTATTTAAAAACAAATGATGAAAAAAAAGAGTTGGAAATATCTGTATACATAAAGAATTTTAACTATATTTAAATGAAGTATTGTATAATTATTGTCGTTCATTTATTAAATAGCTGACATAGGGAAATATTTAAAATGTAAACCTGCAAAATAGTGAATTCTTTGTTGTTTATGTGCTTAAAGCCATCTCATGTTAAAATTAATCAAATCTAGTATTAATATTACTAATAATAACTGAAAATAAAAATATACCAATAATCAATATTTTTAAAAAAATTGGTTATTTATTAACTATAGTTTTTTTTAAATGTTTTTCAGAATTTATACTGTTGATATGGAAAGAAGCATGAGCTTTAAATTGTGATCAATTATTATTTATTTCAAGTATGAAGATGGCGATAAAAAACGGACAAAAATCATACAGATTTGAGTGTTGTAAAATGAAACACAGACCTTTGTTACCATTTTAGTAAAAGGCAACAAATGTAATTACATTTTTTCCTGGTCGATTGAATAATAAATTTATGTCATAACTGTACACAACTTTTAAATGATTAGAAATAATTTATATAAGTCTTTCAATAGCTTTTTCAACCATTTTAATGAGAATATGAGTGAATTTTAAATAAATACAGATGCGAGTATGATTAATAAAATTAATGAGTAATGTGGAACAGGTTAATTAAGCTTTCACAATAATTTTATTAATTGAGTTGGTCAAATTTCTAAGGAACGCCTAATATAATTCACATGTTTACATTTCAAAACACTACCGTTTTTTGTTTTTTTTAATCAGTTCTCTCATTTTGTACTTCTGCAGAAAAAGTTCAGTAGACCTTTTGAATAAAGAGTAAATAAATTAAATTTAAATATAAATTTATCATAATATATAAAGTAATGTCTAAATTAAGTAGTATTTAAAAAAGTCTTGACAGATTTATGCAAAAACAATAGAATAACTTGTCACTCACTTTCTCAGCTTCACGGAAAAACATTGAATCATGTTTTTGTTTCTGCAATGAACTTTTTTCCCCACTGAAATTCAATCCCATTGAACCGAGGACTTATTCTTAACTCATTGATTGAGGGATCAATGCTTTTGGATAGGTGTCCTTCAGGCCTGAGCTTTGCCTCTTGCAGGAGTAGGAATTTAAGCCTGCAGCCTTTGCAACAACAGAAGACATTCTACCTTTTCTTCCTGGCAATATTTTCACAGGCATGTTACTGCTGTGACGAGCTTATATGCCACTGCAGTCTGCAGCCAGTCAGCAGTCCTACTACATCCTAGGTTTTGTAGTTCTGCTGTTAGTTTCTGCAAAGTCTTTTAACAAATTTTTTTTCCCATATCCGGAAATAAATTTCTGTTCAATTGATTTATTTTTAACTGATTGTCTAATGGATGTTTTTTTTAGCAATTTGGCCACAAAAGGGTTCAGTGCCAATGAGCGTCCTGATTGAACTTGTCTTTACCAATTTATCAGCCTCGTTGTTGCTACTTTGCCCTGTATGACCTGATCAGACAAAGGTAATTTTGTTGTTCTGAAAGTCTGACTGGGGCCATACAATCCCAAATGGCTCTGGACTTTACTACCGATGCCATCCAAATAGATGGCTATTTTTTTTTATTAGTAATGCTCAGCCTTTTGATCTCAGCACAGTCCAAACCCAGCCTATGCGAACTCCCTGGTAATCAGCCCAATAATGCTGGCCACTTTGATTGGAATTCCCGATTCAATTCTTCTTTGTTGTTTACGTCATTTCTATTGAAAAACACCCAAACGAGCAAATCAAAGCAGACACAATATTCAATAAAATTCATCAGTCCTTTACCAAGGAGTAATGTATGTTTACCTCGCGACTATTTCTATGTTACTGTCTGCAAGCCAATACTGTTTTAGTTGATGATTGTCATCATGATTTTCAAATTGATTATTAAGTGCAACTGCCAAAATTAAAAGTGTATGCTTCATAACCACAATTTTTTTTAGAATTTTTAAATTAGAATTACTCTACAAAGTGAATTATTTACTTACACAACTTACTCTAATAAGTAATAAGCCCATTTATTTGTTTGATCTTTTGGCATGTTGAGATGCAACAGTAGTATCAATCTAATAAAGAAATAGGTATTTCGATAACCTTGGCTCTTCTGTGGCATCTCATTTTCCAAAATTACGTACTAAGCAAATCTTAATCTATAAATCTTTAACACCCCTTTATATTTATATATTTTTTAATATGTATTTTGTACGTACAAGAAAAATTTAAAAGGGATTTTTTTGTCAATTCATTTTTGTATATAACACCATTTTGTTTATTTTCAACTACACACTAAACAGATACAGGAAAATTTAATCGCATCTCCAACTATTAGGCACTGAAAAGGTTTGACAAAAAATACTTATAAACAAAATGTATCAATTAAAAAAAAATCAAACAATTTTAATATATTTTACTAACAGTATTTATGTTCATAATGAACAAAAATGTACATAATAAACAGAATGTGTACCAATTTGTATAGTTTAATGAGTGTACAAACAGTTGTATATATAAATATGTATACGAAAAAATAAATGTTTTAATAAAAACAAAAAGTCATTTATTTTAAAAACAAGTCATCCATTTTTTAATGCAAAAATTAAAGAATGGGAAGAAATTTAAATAAACATAATCAAAAATTAATTTAGGAAGCTTAATTGGATTTTTTTTACTAGGGTAGGTTGTTTTTTCCTGCGAATTTCTAAAAGCGAAGAAAGTGGAATTCAAACTCAGAACTAAATACATTGGCACATATGAAACAACATAAATACTAACAATTAATTAAGGTTTTTAGTTGAGATAAAAAAGTCAATGGCACGAGTGGGATTCGAACCCATGATCTTCGGCTTGATACGGTACCCCCTCATGGTACCCATGAATCACACGTGTGTGGCCTATCCGCAGGTGGGTCAGGACAACGCTTTCCCTTCGAGATATCCCCTCCGAGCTCCGCGGTTGACCGTCGGCTTAACGGACACTAGCGCGTTGGCCCAACGACGCTTCCACTTGTCTAATATAATATTTTTCACTATTCTCTTGGCGCCGTCAGGCCGAATCAGGGTGGTCTCAACATCATCACTGTGAGGAACGAGAGTACCTGCTTTCGCGGCCAGGTCTGCTCTCTCGTTCCCCTCCAGTCCGACGAATTCCGACGGAATCCAGGCTAAAACCACCCTTTTCCCGGCACGCACAATGTCCGCATATTTCAATTGGATTTTGCCGATCAGTGGATCCCGTGTATAGAGGTCTCTCAGGGCTCTCACCATGCTGAGGGAGACAGTGCATATGAGAACAGTTTCATTCCCCATGCCCGACACCCCCAACATTGCATGCCAAATCGCGTATAGCTCGGTGGTGTACACACTGCACTCTCTAGGGAGTGGGTGGGAGGAGCTCTCCTCCCGCGTGTACATCCCGCATGCCACACCCGCCCCGGTCTTAGAGCCGTCCGTGAAGACAGTCTTACTTCCGGGGAGCTATTAATTTTTGTTAAGTGTAATTAATAAACCAAAACACAAGGCAATATTATTTTTTTTCTCCCTTTTTCTTAGGCACATTTCCAACTAAACTGATGCAATCTGGTCCTCTAATAATAAAAATGCAATAAAAAAAGAAGCGACATCATTGATGGATAGAGTACCTCTCATGCAACAAGAGCATAGTCAATTGGTGTACCTCTGGGGTTCCGAATCAATGAAGGATCATATCCGACTAAAAAGAGGCCATATTAAGTTGACAGTTTTGGGCCATAGATAATGTATGCAGCTGACTAATGAAAACATTATAATTTATAGTGATGGTCTTGAGAATACAACATTTATTCTGTTGGGTGTTCCATTTCTGATGAGATCTGAATCATTGTATATTTTATTGATGATGATGAGGTTACGAGGAAATGGGTTTGGTATTCAAGCCCTGCAGCCTTTTGGCTTATTAGTTTAGGCTAATTAATTAAATTTCAGTTCAGTTGAGTTTGGAGTAGGAAAAATGTTACACTAACTGTTCATCAATGATGATGATAATAAGCACTACAGGCTTTTGTCTTACAGACCTTAACCACGCATAATAGTCAGAACAAAACGCTTGGAAAAGACCAACAAACTCCAAGCCTATCACCACTCTCAACTTACAACTTCAAGATGAAAGTACAATGAATAATTGTTAGTAGAGTTTGGAATGGGCAAAGTCACAATAACTGTCTACTGATTATAATAATAAGAGGATATTAGGAGGTGGTTTATTGTACTTGTTCTAGTGACTTAGTTTAGTTTAATTGACTTGATCCTTGTTTTAAGAAGTAGTAAGCCATTTGCCTGCCAAACTTCAATGACTATAATGGAGAGAACAAAATGCCTGGAAAAAGCCAAAGTCCATCACCGCGATGACCTCACAATATCTGTCCATTGATGATAAGAGGATATTATGAAGCAGGAGTTTGGTATTCTCCAAGCTCTACAGCTTATTGGCTTTTTGTTCTTTTCTAGTGCCTTTGTTTAGTTCAATTAACTAGATTCTTCTTTTAAGAAGCAGTCAGTCATTAACCAAATAAGAAGGTCAGACCAAAATGCTTGGAAAAGACAAAATTCCAAGTCCATCATCACTATAAAACGTACAGAGTTTGGATAGGGCAAAGTCACAATAACTCTCCATAGATGGTGATAATGATGAAGTTGGAGTTTGGTATTCCCAAAGAACTACAGCCTTTTGACTTATTGTACTTTTTCTTGTTCCTTAGTTCAGTTCAATTGACTCGATCCTTCTTTTAAGAAGTAGTAGTCATTTTCCTGAGAGACCTTAACCATAATAGTCAGACCAAAACACTTAGAAAAAAACCCAAACTATAAGTACATCTCCACTATGACCTCCCAACTTTAGAATAAAAGAACATTGAACAATCAAGCATTTGGAAAGGACCAAACTCCAACATCACAATAACTATCCATTGATGATGATGATAAGAGATTAGGAAGCAGGACTTTGGTATTATCCAAGCACTACAGCCTTTTTATAGCTACTAGCTTTATTCCTTAGTTGTTCAATTGACTCGATCCTTCTTTTAAAAAGCAGTAGGTCATTTTTTTTTCTTTTTGATAGACTAACTAATGATGAGAGCTAAACGCTTGGAAAGGACTCCGAGTCCATTACCACTCTA